ATTAAGGAGCTAAAACAAGGACTGGTCGGCTCGGAGTCAGTATACTGTGTCTGAGTCGGGTATTCATGTTAAACTGCGGCATGGTATCTCAATGAGCTAGGACTATAAATCGGCATCAGTCCGGACTAGTACAAGCAGCCACACACACACACACACACACACGTACATGCACGTCGCTATATAAGTGCAATCACCTTGGACGCGACGTTAAACACAATTTCACCTCACCTCACCTGTTCCTCGTTAATGAAAGGTAAAAGTTAACTACTGCTTGGCTAACCAACCTTGACTTATCCCGGTATAAGCTGTCCGACAAATGGGAGGTTACCGCATTGGCAGATACATTCACGACATACTTGTGACATTATCTGTGATGTCAATGTACTATAATTACTGATGGCCACCTGTGTTTTCTACTATATCATACAATAGCGTCATGTGATGAATGTCTCAAACAGGCAGTGTACACTAGAGCGGGTAGATCTCGAGTAAAGGTCGCGGCTTGTATTAGTTAGGTTTATTGTGTATGTGACTGCGGGGGATAACGGGTAAGTTTACATGACCTCACGAGGTCAGCTTGACTACATCCTGTATCATTTGACCGGTCTGAATATACATTTAACATTCAGTTTTGTGATAGGTGAGTAATAACGCAAGACAGTCCCTTGATAATTACACGAGGCCAGACTGACTGGAATATGTTGATCAGTCTGAATAAGGTTTAGCATTGATGATGTGTGAGTACTTGTGTGTAGTCCTTGCCATGTGTGTAGTATGTGTATTCGGTGTGTGTATCTATTGTCCTAACTTGCATTTCCACACTAAACGTATACTAACGTAGATCTGGAACTTACTCACTGAGGACAACGTAATAGTCAGAGGATAAACGTTTCCTTCTCTTTTGACGTGTTTGGGTGAACAGCTCCAATTGCAGAAACTATTTTTAAAATTAATATTGATATAAATGACAGCTTTTATTGTTACAAAACCAAGCCGTAAAGTAGAATTTGGTAACGAAAAGGTTTATACATACGTTATAAGTCATTAGTTTGTGAAAGAAATTAGGACATAACATAAGAAGATATAAAATGTTTACGGAAGTGAGAACTGCGCTCTCGAATACAACATCTCATATGTAGGCCAACGCCCAGGTGAAAAGATATGTTTGGCTTGCCTACGCAATACATCGGGCAGATTATGTACTCCCAGTGAAATTGATAACTTACAGATTGTTTTCATTCGAATGAACCATGACCCAAGGACAGTGCCCCTGACTGGAGATCATGTTTAATTTTTTGTTCAGTTTGGTGTCATGAGTAGACGATTGGTTTATATCCGGGATTTATAGTCTCACATTAGTTTAAACCTGTTTGGATAAAGTATGTATAAATGTACTGATTTCAAGAAGACCAAATTACTAGTTTTTGTCAAATTAGCATTACCATTCAATATATATCACAGTGGCATATTTTATAATGAAGCCGAATCAGTTCCTTAATGATTGTTTTACAGAGCAGTCAAAAGTTCTACACCCAGACAAAGAGCTACCTCACTATGTAACCAAGAACAATGTTGCTCTAAGTCACATCAAATAAGGTGGGCACGGGTGGCCCAGTCGTCTAAGGCGCCGCGATTCGCTGTGCAGAGTTGCGTCCCTTGGGAACGCCAGAAACCTATGATCGTGGGTTCGAATACCGGTTCGCCCCGATTATGTTTCTAGGTTTGTCAGCACCATACCCGTGCTCGTGGGTTTCACCGAAGCGGTAAACGTCTGAGACCTGCATCACTTCGGCCTTTCCTCCCACATTAAGCTGACACGCCGCGATAGGACTGTAATACTGTCAAAAGCGGCGTTAAACCCAACTCACTCACTCACTCGGATATTATATTTAGCCAAGCAACGTTTTGATAGTTTGTACTTTAAAAAAAATTCAAATCCAACTTTCAAGTGTATGTTTTCTTTTACCCACCAGTTTACATGCCTTTCGACATAACATAAAACAATAGCATACACTTATGTTTGTGTGTATAATTGTCACCTTTTACGCCCTTTACTGCTAACGGGATCTGTTTGAGCCGATATTCAAATGAAGATAAATCGCAGGGTTGACGTGTTATATTAATTAGACACCTGTATGTAGATATGTAACATATTTTCAACGTGTCGTTGGCGTCGGTACCGTTTTTATATTTTCCAATGTTATTTTCAGACTTTAACCGTCCCATCAATACGGCTCGAACATGAAGTACAGACGATTGCAAGCTGTGTTTGTGTCTGTTACGGCTGGTGAGTACCCCAGTGGGAATAACGGTAGTTCTCGTTGCTCTGTGGACATCCATCTTGCGGAGAAACGTAGTTGGTTGGTTGTTTTACGCCGCACTCAGCAATATTCCAGCTATATGACGGCGGTCTGTAAATAATTATATAATCGAGTCTGGACCAGACAATCCAGTGATTAATATCATGAGCATCGATCCGCGCAATTGGGATCGATGACATACATCAACCAAGTCAGCGAGCCTGACCACCCGATCCCGTTAGTCGCCTTTTACGACAAGCATAGTCACCTTTTTCGACAAGCATGGGTTGCTGAAGACCTATTCTACCCCGGAATCTTCACGGGCCGGAGGAATGTAGTAGATGAAGTACTGTGTGTATGAGTTGTGTGTGTGGATAAGATAACCTGTGTGTAAAAATGATGCTGTGTTCGTGTGTGTGGAGATGATATGATACTGTTATTTTACACGTATGAGTCCGCACCGATAATCCAGTGATTTAGGAGATAAAACTACTGTGTTTTGAAATTTGATGTAGTCGCACTGTTGAGTAGATACCTCTGTAGCTTAATTTGGAACCGAGTACTTTAGCGATCAAGATTTAACGGGCTCAAAGCCTGTGTGTGAAAGCAATGAGATATTTGTGACTCCTAAATAGTGGTTCGTGTATGATTTTCATAATTGTGCGTGTCCTGAAATGAATTTCATCAAGTGTGATAAGCTGTGACGTCAGTGATGTCGGGAACTTGTTTTCGTGGCCTTTCGAAAGGACGAGTGTTTTCTGATGGTCTTTAAATCTCCTTCGGACAAATCTTTTACGGTGGTGTTTGATGGAGATGACAATGACTATTGATCACAAAAAGGTTTGTAAACATTTCATGAATAAGGTTTCTCCAAACACATTTTTGTAATGTTATATTTTACTTTCATTGTCGGTTGTTGCAATGGCGAAATTGTTATGCCTTCGTCAAGTCTTGTAATCTCATCATCGAAGCAGTCAGGGTTACGGCCTAGAACATCATTTTGTCGCCAAAAACATCCGATATCAAACTACCGTATTTCCTCTATTAGACGCAAGGCCGTCTTTCAATTTCGCGAAAGCCGTTGACGGGGTATCTATTAGAGACCAGGCGTGTAATTGAGGAAATATCGATGCGTTTCACAGTTCCTATGGGTGATCGATCGGCAGCCATTTTATATTAATCGATATGTAGGCTATCGATGTACTCATGCGCACGTTTTTTGTTTGAAAAAGCTTAATATATTTAAAAGGGGTTTCCGCAGCAAACAGGAAACCATTTTAACCAATCAGAATCAAGCATTCTTCAATGTCATGATAGAATGATATTATGACGACAGAGCAACCCCACCAGGGTACACGTCATCAACCAAGTCACATGACCACTTACGACCAACAAAGGTTGCTGGGGAACAATTCTATTCTTATTAACGATGTCGACAATGAGGAAACGAGAGCTTCGCTCAAGATTATATAAATTATATTTTAGTCTTTGTGCTCTAAACTTTTGAGATATTTTCTTTGTTTCTATTTCTCTCAAGATTCCTGTTTTTGGTGACATTTAGCATTGGTTTTCATTTTTATAGGACCCTGAGACAAATGTCATAACTTTAAAAAATGACAATACTAAAGAAAACATCAAACAAAACTAAAGGAAACAACAGAATAATTTGTTTCAATGATCGATTTTTGAACGCCATAAGCAAAAATAATTTTGTGATTTATTTTTGTTGAATTTCAAAACAATTAAAGTAAAGTACGGTTATAACGAACTCAAAGGGACAACTAATTTTAGTTCGTTTTAACCGTAGTTCGTTATAAGCATATATACAGCATAACTACAGCAAAAGTCGGGACCAAAAAAGTAGTTCGTTATATCCGTCAGTTCGTTATAAGCGTGTTCGCTATAACCGTAGTTTACTGTAGCTGATTCCAGCTCTCTATTTCAGGGTTTGTCCTGGGAACCCTGTTTTCACCATTTTGCAACTTACTGAACCACAAACCTGATGAAATACGACCATCACTGGCACAGGCATTGACAGGTAGAGTATCTATCAAACCATATTCTACATGACGTTTGTACGGGCCCGGGTCTTGGATTGTTGAAGCTCGTTTGCTCATTTGTTAAATTATTTAAGGCCGTACTCAGCAATATTCTAGCTACATCACCTGTAAAGTATTGACTACGAGGTGATATTGATGTACATAAATGAGCGGTGCATTATATGTGAAGCAAGATTACGATGTTATTTGGTACCAAAGTAATAATGACAAAACGACGAAATGCAGCAATCCAGGAACGCTACACGACCCGTGAAGATCCGGGGTAAAATAGGTCTTCAGCAACCCATGCTTGCTGTAAAAGGCGACTTTGCTTGTCGTAAGAGGCGACTAACGGGATTGGGTGGTCAGGCTCGCTGACTTGGTTGATGCATGTCATTGATCCCAATTGCTTGGATCGATGCACATGATGTCAATGACTTGATTGTCTGGTGACTCGATTATTTACAGACCGCCGTCATATAGCTGGACTATTGCTGAGTTCGGCGTAAACAACAAACAGGCAGACAGAGGAACGCTACACAACAAGAAAACCACGAGTAAGACGCACGTGAACAATCAAGAATAGGTCTTAATAACGTGAGTGAGTGAGTGATCGTGGTTTTATGCCGCTTTTATCAATATTCCAGCAATATCACGGCGGGGGACACCAGAAATGGCTTCAAAAATTGTGCCCATGTAGGGAATCGAACCCGGTTATTCAGCGTGACGAGCGAACGCTTTAACCACGAGGCTACCCCACCGCCCTCTTCATAAAGAAAGTGGGGGGTTCTCGTAGGTCAACACGTTGTCTGAGAGCAACTGCTGAACTCGGGAGGTCATCAACGACTACCGGAAGAACAACGGTCACAGTTGCCCGATGATTGATTTGAAGCAGAACAATCGCAGTCGGTTGTAACTATGGTAATTTGGTCCAGAGCACTATCTATAGACTTTGGTTTCAACAGCATGGTACGTCATATAACCAACCTATCACTGTCCACTTGGTACAATGGTCCTGGGCCGCTTCGTACAACTGCATCAATCCTTAGAAGCAATCCGAGGATTACTGGAGGTATCTGACTTGACAGCGCGGAACCCCCTTTTTGAGGCAGGTCGGTGTTGTTGTTATGATGCAACGTCACCTTCAATGAAAACGTAAGAGGTGTCAAGCACGCATTGAGTCGCACTGAGGCGATGAACCAGAGATGGAGAACTGTTTGGTGCAGCTACGAATCAAGATTTATGCTGCGTCGAGGTGATTGGAGGGGTAGGGTGCTCCGACCTCACAATGCAAGTTTTACCACCACCTGGGATGTGGACAGGTTTAGCTTTGGCAGCGTAATGTTATGGGCGGAAATATCCCAAATGTGTAGGACTAACCTGGAACAAGTGCAAGGCAGCTTAACTGACCAAAGTTTTTGTGTGTGAAGAAACGGCTGCACGATATTCCTATTATGCACCACACAGGTTCTCCGTATAACATTGTATAGCACGATTTGTACTGTTTGCAATGTATTATAAAGGGCTTATATTAGATGTCTAGTAAAGGTGGGTTACTTCTCACACCATAAATCTAGCTATGCGTTTCTGTCATGGAGATATCACTTGAATCTGTGTTTAAGGAAGCACATTGTAGATTCGAGAGATTTCTCCGACTTAAACCATGACATGTTCAATAAATATTTACTCTATCAGTTTGCAAAATGGCCTATAGCTGCGTCCGTTACACTTGGCCAGATTGAATGGCCAGTGATTTCCTGGCTCAGAAACATCATAAAGGTTTAATAGTTTAGGAGTATGCATTTCGTAGCTATGGTCCTGGGAGTGAGTATTTCAAGAACATTCCCAAGGGCTATACTGCACATAATCCAAAAAAGATGTCTCTGAACGGATCTGAGTGTAACAGCGCCGCAATTTTAGTACAGTAAACTACGTTTATAACGAACACCCTTATAACGAACTCACTGATATAACGAACTTATTTTTTAGTCCCGGGAAGTTGTTGAACATATGCTGTATATATGCTTATAACGAACTACGGTTATTACGAACTAAAATTAGTGGTCCTTTGGAGTTCGTTATAACCGTAGTTTACTGTATACGCTTCTTCATCTTCACAGGGTTACGAAAGAGATATACTCACCACCAAAAGAAACGCGAATACCATACATGTTGGTGAATATATGAAGAATTACTCGTTTTCAAGAGATATTAGATTGGTTCGATGCACAAACGAACATACTGGTATGTTGTGTGAACCGACGTTCATGAACGCATCACATGTGACGTCATGGATCCATGACTCGAGATACACCATTTGTCTCGTGCAGGATTAGCGTGTAAAGTTTGGAAAACACCTGCGCATATCGTGATAAAAATAAAGACACTCTGTGCCAACACTTGACTGATTGTAAGTTTTGCCGTTAAGTGGAAACGCATTGGAAACATATCTTCTTAAAACGTACACACTTCTATGTATGTTTCGACGGTTCGCGTTTCTGTTGGCGGTGAGTTGAAATGGGGTTTAACGTCGCGTCCAAGATTATTACACTTATATAGCGACGTGCATGTACGCGCGTGTGTGTGTGTGTGTGTGTGGCTGCTTGATGCCGATTAATAGTGCTAGCTCATTGAGATACCATGCCGCAGTTTAACATGGATACCCCACTCAGACACAGCATACTGACTCCGAGCCGACCAGTCCTTGTTTTAGCACCTTTATGCCGAGCGCCAGACAGGGTAACAACAAGTACCATCTTTTAACGTCTTTTGGTATGACGCGGCCGGGCTGTTGGCGGTGAATTTATCAGTATGATATACCGAAGACGTCCAAACACCGCTGTGGTGTTGTGGCTGCAGGCAATTTCTTAGAAAACCCGAAAGCATCCCCCATTTACCTGGGTCTTCAAATGGAAGCTTGCCCAAACGTACTCGACTACAATGCATTCATTATAATAACGAAGGAACCATGAACGTGGTTATTGGTGCAATTCTTAACAATTTCCAGGAAGTATGAATATCAACAGTGTTAAGCAAAATAATGCCTTGCCTCGAACGTTGTATCGTGTGCCTGTGACCTTTGTGAAGTATGTTATTTCAGATACGGATCTTTTTCACGAGAATCCCACGGACGAAACCATAGCGTATATAAACAGCCTCTACGCGGAAAAGATACAGTGTGAGTAATACTATCCATCTGTATAGTTGGTTGGTTGGTTTGTTGAACGCCGCACTCAGCAATATTCCAGCTATATGACGGCGGTCTGTAAATAATCGAGTCTGGACCAGACAATCCAGACAATCCAGCCTTTTACGACAAGCATAGTCACCTTTTACGGCAAGCATGGGTTGCTGAAGACCTATTCTACCCCGGAATCTTCACGGGTCATCCATCTGTATAGAATTTGTTTTTCAGCATGCCAATATTTTGACTGAGTAGTGAATCCTGGTTAGAATATGTCCCCAGAAACCTATGCTGATCGTAAGAGGTAAATGGATCGGGTGGTCGGGTTCGGAGAATTGGTTGATTGTGTGTCATTGTACTCCGATGACGTTGAAGGTTATCCACAATATGAAACCCTGGATTGTCTGGTCCAGACGTGATAATTTACAGGTCGCCGTCATGCTGCTGAGTGCGTAGTTAAACAACAAGCAAACAAAGATAATGTACTTTTAATACCATTATGCTGTCAAGCTCCAATAATGCCCCTGCCGAAACAAGCCCATCTTCTTATCATTGACCCCGTCCGATGAGACATCTAGATGCTTTTGTTTTAAGGAGGAGAATGTATGGATGTCAACCTCTTTATTATGAGCAAAACGTTACGGAGTATATGCTTACCTCTTCATCAGGTGTAAGGGTTGATGAAGGAGTAAGCATATACACCGAAACGTTGTGTTCCTCATAATAAAGAAGTTGACATCCACAAATTCTCTTCCTTATGTTTATCACTTCTATATGCCTTTCAAAGGTTTTGTTTGTTTCTTGTTGTTTGACAAAGTAGACACAATTTATGGATAACAACTTCTTTAATACTGTAACGCCACTATATTCGACGGCCTATAAATAATCTAGACATAAATATATAAGGAGACATGCTCTGAAACTCAAAGCCGCTTTGGCTGTTGAAGTCTTATGTTCTTTGATGAGTGTCTCTACTGGGCGGAAGGTTTCGCCGATGTAGGAGTCGACATAGTAACAATTAATGCCATAGGTTACTCCTTTGAGAATTTGCTTGTTGGAGGGTGGGGTGGGGTGGGGTGGGGTGGGGTGGGCCATTAGTTTAGAGGACGGTTCAAAGGATCTAAGAGATGGCTTTCTTGGTCAGTGTTGAGAGGATGCCAGACTTAGTTTTTGGGTGGTTGGAGTTTAAGTGAATGTACTGGTCAGAATGGGTAGGTTTCCTGTAGACAGTGGTTTGGAGCTTGTTGTTGGGGATATATTGACGTCATGGGAGTGCAGTTGTTGCTATGAATAACATCCTTTCTTCACTCTAGTACTGGCAGACAAGGGTCTGTTGAAAACAATGGGAAGAAGAGGAAAATGTACAAAGGATGCATCTCCAGACGGTGAGTAACATAATGACAATAGTCATTGAAGGTATTTACACGAAACAATTAACCGATCCATTTCTCATTTTCTCTGAAAAATCCTGGATTGATGCCTTCTAGATATTGTTATCTACTTCTGAGGAACAAGACGAAAACGCCATAAGATTGGTCAAGTCAACCCTTACAATTTCAGTTTAATCGTTTCCTTCTTCCCCCAAAATACATACTATCACATGACACATGTTCTGCGTTCCTCGTAATTCAGTTTAGTCCTGAGCGTTTTCCTATTGTGAATCACAGTCAACTCTGAATGATAATAATCGAGTCCAATAAATAGTCAGATATAACGAATCGATGGATACAATGAATAGTCGGTATAACGAATTGTTTGATTGGCATTCTAGAAGTTGGTAAGTAAGTAAGAAAACGTAGAACTTTATGGATAACATATTCTGGTTTATTGCACATAGAGACGTTGGAGTGAGTGAGTGAGGTAAGATTTAACGTCACATCGGCAGTATTTCAGCCATATCGTGACGAGAAGTACATTATAATACATAGATTTAGACTAAATAAAAAGCTGTCAACGAAGGACAGTACAATAACTAGGATATCACAGATTCGATTTAAAACTAGTTGAGAATATATAAAAACCATAAGTATCAGTGAACAACACAATATAAAAATGGGCTAGGGATCGTCAGTAACTAAAGGGAGATCATCATACTAGGGACCATGGGGACTTACCAGAGACGTTGGATGTAGATTCTTACACCGCTATGAAGCTGGAGTCTAACTTGATAACGTAAGAATCTACATCGAAACGTCGTAATCTGCAATAAACCAGAAGTTGTTATCCGTAAAGTTGTACAGAACAATGAATAATCGGATGTATCGAATGGTCGAAATATAATAAATAATCATACATAACGAATAAACGGATATAATGAATAGTTGTTATAATGAATATTCGGATGTATCGAATTTTCACATTACATAATAAAGTCATAATAACGAAAAGTTGGATATAATGAATAATTGGATAATAAATTGTCGGTTATAACGTATTGTTGGATATGTAAATGTTCGGATATAATAAATTGTCAGACTGATAAAACGAATAGATGGATATAACGAATAGTCCGATATAACGACGCAAGGTCAATATATAACATGATTTTGAAATTAGGGGATCTGAAGATGTCAACACCTTTAGATCAAAACTCAAGACCATCCTCTTCTAAAGAGCATACGACTGAGCGCTCTTGAGCAGTATGTCTGGATAGGTAGCGCTTTATAAATGCTTGATTTCAAATGAACATTATGATCAATAAGGAAGAGAATATAAGTATGTATAATTCTCTTCCCAATGTGTATCACTTCCAAATGCCATTTAAAGACTTCATTGTGATCAACGTGAATAAAGAAATCATGATTTTGTGAGACCCTTTAGCTTCGTTATATAATAGATTATAACTACATGCTGCTTTATGATAATATAATTAAATTTTCGCTGTGTTCATTGCAATTCAAGCATTCTGATTAGCTGAATTGGTCACGTGTTATTGCATTAATTTCCCAATGAATGTAAAAATTAAACCACGCCCACCGAAGCGGACAACACTTATTATCACGGAATGTCGGGGAATCCCAATATTACAGTCGAGGGAATTCCCTTTCTGCTCACGTGCATTGTCATGCTCAGGACATTTAGTTAAATTCATGTATGTTCATTGTCCAAACTACCCTTTGAGTCCGAAGGCCGAGAAGGAGTGAAACAGCAAACGTGGAGGCTCGCTCGCCTGTTTCTTTCCGCTGTGCAAACTTTTGTGCAAATACAGTTTGCACATCGGTTTTTCGATTCATTACCTCAATGAACCGAAAAAAATAAACAGTCAGTCCTTAGATATTTTTTTCCCGTTATGTAGCATGGTGTCATGATCCAAACTGCACCGAACAACTGCCTCCCGTGAACAGCCAAGAAAATCTACGCAGCATCCTTAAACCGGTGATGAAACTGAGAGACGACGCCCTCAACCGCTTACCGGAAATATTTGGCGTAAAACAAGAACAACGAAAGTATGTCTTCTTAATGGCGGCGTCAGACAATCACTACGTTGAGGCTCAGCAAACAATACAGTCCCTTCATGAAAAGGTCTTTCCATTCATAAGGAACTTCTCATTCTACTTCTACGACATTGGTTTGAAGAAGGAGCAGAGGGATATGGTATGTATAACAGGAAATGATAGGTCAATTCTCCACTGAGTTCCCGTCTGCTAATGTACAGTATAAACCTAAGCTTGGCCCCGTCTCCCATATCACAATATAGTTGACGACGGGCATAGGGAGCCGGGAACCAGCTTAGTATATACCCAATAACTGGAGATGGTCCTAGTCGTGATAAAATAATTATGGGCATTGTGCTGAAATATTAAAAATATGGTCGGCATTTTTTATAGATACGGGACACATCGCAAGAGCATTCGCGACCAACTCGTGTTATTCCGGGACCAGCCGCATAGCGACTCGTGCCCGCTCATGGCCATTTTTACGACCGGGTTCCGTCTCAGCGCAAACGGGCATACCTAAAACAATTGTCAACTTGTTGCGTAATGGTTCACTTACATTCCCCATATATCACATATATTCCAGATGCAATTTAAAGCACATCGGGACATGCGGAATTATGCAGTATGATTGAACACATTTAACTGGTATATTTTTAGGTGCAAGACATATGTAAAATCAAAAAAATATTTCTGAGGGATTCTTTGACGAAGAACTTGAAATCATACGCCCATTCTGATTGGTTTGTCGTATTTTCGCACATAACATTCATCGATAGGGGGACGAGTCTTATTGCAGGTTACGGAAAGGGGCGAGTGGTGACGAATGATCGCAAGAGCAATGAATTCGAAGAACGAAGCGTGGTTTATTTTACGATAAAACATTGTTCTATCATGACGTCATTTCTGGAAATTCGAATATGCGCTCGTAACTTGATGACGTCATGTATTGGACGACGTTATTTTAGAGAGGGAGGTGTCTAGTGAGTTGTTCCCCATGGATGTACCTGGGGTACGCAGATAAACGCAGTGGTCGAACGATCACATCCAAAAGTGGGAGTGAGTGAGTGAGTATGGTTTTACGCCGCTTTTAGCACTGTTCCAGCAATATCACGGCGGGGGACACCAGAAATGGGCTTCACACATTGTGCCCATGTCGGGAATCGAACCCGGGTCTTCGGCGTGACGAGCGAACGCTTTAACCACTAGGCTACCCGACCGCCCCCCAAAAGTGGGAGAGATATGACAATCGGTATTAGGAGAAGAGGTATATATGATCGACGTGAGGATTGTGAGAATATGCGGGAAATACCAAACTTCATCCACCTGTTCATAAAATGGAATTGTCCGATATTGCCGAGGTCGGATTCTATTGAGGGAGTCATCATTATTACAATTGTGCTTGGCCATCTTCCAAAGGCAAGGCAGTTAACTGACTTTAAAAGTCCAGTTTCCACCCTTGCCGAACTAGGCTGGAATTCCTGGGCTCGATCGTAGCGCCAACAGTGGCTGTTACGTGTTACGTGCCTTCTATGCCTCTCCCATGGACCAATCAAATTCCACCTCTCGTATCACTTGCATTTGTTTCAAACAAAATGGCGGCGCCCAGTCAAGACGATCTGATCGATAAGCAAGATCAATATTGTGATAAAACGGGGCTTACATCGCGAAGTGCATAAAATCACGTGAGCACCTTGATTAAAAACTTGAAAAGATTTGGCAAATATCTGTTGAAAACGAGGTGGCGGTACACATGCTGTGCAAATCCCGCAATCGACCGAAATCTGCATGGCAGTTTACGAACCGGATTTCGATTTCGGTGCGCAATTTTGATTGGACTATGCATAGACTCGCGAGTCCAGCCAAAATCTAACTCCATAATACCAGCCTCGTTCGGCAAGTGTGGAAACTGAACTTTTGTAGCAAGTTAACTCTCTTGCCTCGGGAAGATGGTGCTTGGCACGACGCTTTGTATGTACCTCGGAGATAGAAGAGAGTAATTGAGGTTGTGAGTTAGTTGCGTTTAAAGCAGCTTTGAACAGTATTCCAGTTGCATGACGTCGTGTCGGTTTAATGTTGGAGGAAAGCTCGAGGTTATGCAAGTTTACCGCTTGGTTAAAGCCACGAGTACATATCTGGGCCCACTTGCACAAAGCGGTCTTAGTGCTAAGACTATTGTAAGCCTATGTTAAAGTATGGGAGTTACGATCATTTGAGGGCTAAGATCGCTTTGTGCAAGTGGGTGCTGATTCTTACAAACCTAAAGACATAATTCTGTCAAACTGGCATTTCATATATACCACCTCTTTGGCCTAGTGATAGAGCGTCTGCCCGGAGAGCGGAAGATCGGGGGTTGAATCCCCGGCCGCGTCATACAAAAAACATTACACGATGGTACTTGTTGTGTCCCTGCCTGGCGCTCTGAAGTAAGCTGATAAAACAAGGACTTATTGGCCCGAAGTCAGTATACTGTGTCTGAGTGGGGTATTCATGTTAACTGCACGGCGCTATATAAGTGCAATAGTTTTGAAAGGGACGTTAAACCCCACTTCACCTCACCTTACCCATAACCAGAATATTGCTGAATGCGACGCTACACCACACAACACAACACAACACAAAACACACACCCACCGAGGCAGACAAATAGACAGACACACAGTGAGACACACAGACACACAGACACACCGGAATAAAAACGGTAGGTCCCTTGCGCCAAAATCTGAGTCATGAAGTTTGAGATTTTCATTGCAGCTGACGACATATGGGAAAGCTGTTGTCAAGACATATCCCTTCCGCCTTCTACCATCACGGATACAGTTCCTCAAAGGCTATGCTTGGAAACCACTCATGATTCAGGTACAGTGCAAACACCTTCCTAAGTCGGGTCCACTCAAGTGGGCATTTTGTTACAGTGTCTCCTGTGCCTTAACACTTTCCCACATTTCACTCATCAAAGATCCAATAAAAATATTTTTATTTGAAAACCAAATATACATTAAAACCAAAAGCAAATTGCCTTAAGACTCTGAAAATGGGGAAATGCTTATATGATATGCCGTATTTCATAACTCGAAATGTGTCTTCAACACTAACAAAATGATAATGCGTTTGGGATCTTTTTCATCGATGACCTACCCCACGAACAATAACCCCACATTATTTTCCCCAAACCCTAGCCCAAGTGCCCATTTAGAACAATATAAATTGTAACACTCATTCCAATATTTTAGAGCATGGTAATATTGCAATGAATCAAAGCTTCCATAGGATAATTACGTGTTGTAAACTGACATTTCTAATGCAATATCTGATTTTTTCAGGCACACATCAACACAGCTGAATTCGTCATATACATGGACGCGTCAGTCGTAATAACAAAGAACCTTGACAAGATGTTCGAAAAAGCGACGTATACAGGCTTTCTGATGTGCCCGGGCCACGCCTCAGTGGCACAGCACACGTCTCTACTGATGTTCTCCTATTACGGAGATGCTCCTTGTACATTTTCACCCTACACAGAATACGAGGGGGGATTTCTAGTTTTCCGCAATGAACCTTTTGCTCTGAAGCTGCTCTTGGAACCCTGGGTCGCATGCGCACTGGATCCTCTCTGCATGTGCCCGAAAAACAATTTACTAAGTTGCCCCCGGAAACGGAAATATGGCAAATGCCACAGGTATGACCTCTCGGCGATGACTATAATTCTGATCAAGTTATTTCGAGACAGAATTTCATCTTTCGACGTCCGAAGGGGTCAGTTTCATACTATAAAGCAAGGCAGAACACATGTATTTGAATATCTTGAACACCTACAGGCAACAGACACGCTCCAATAGTGTCAGGAATTATGGAATTGGCATTTACATGTCTGGGCATGTACGTATGTACGTTAACTACAACGTGTGTGCATTTACTTATTAGGGCAAGAATAGCTACCATGAAATGACCAAATCTTTTGAAAAGCTGGATTGTTGTCATTTCTGGTTACGAGAACACAACAGAGGTCAATCATTCAGATGTTAAGGTGAAAGAAGGCGCTGCAGAACTTACAAGATGATTCCAAAATTCTACATATATCTTACTCAGGAAGAGAATACATTTACTTGTATGACTGATATGTGGTCCGAATCCTTTAGTGCCATCGGTGGCCTAAGTGTCTAAGGCGCCAGAGTCCCTGTGTAAAGGCTGCCATAGAGGCGTGGTAAGAGGGCCAATCTGCGAATTTCTATAAAAGTGGTATTAAAAGCTTGAAGGACAAATGGAATAAGTGTTTTGAGGTGAATGGAGATTATATTGAAAAATAAAACTGCCAAAGATATGCTGCTAATTGGTCTTATATTGAAGTTGCAAAACTTATTGAACGCCCCTCGTAGGCCTGCCAGAAATCTATGATTGGGGTCTGAAATCTCAGATTCTCCCTGATTATGTTTCTTGGTTTGTCAGCACCATACCCGTGGGTTTCACTTTAGTGGCAAACGTCATAGACCTGCTATACTTCGAGCGTATCTCCCTCTATGTGATGTAACTGAAATATTGTTTCAAAGCATGAAAATTCACTCACAAACTCACTCGAATTCTTAAGACCCGTGAAGATTCCGGGGTAGAACAGGTCTTCAGCAACCCATGCTTGCCGTAAAAGGCGACTATGCTTGTCGTAAAAGGCGACAAACGGGATCGGGTGGTCAGGCTCGCTGACTTGGTTGATACATGTCATCGATCCCAATTGCGTGGATCGATGTTCATGCTGTCAATCACTGGATTGTCTGGTCCAGACTCGATTATTTACAGAACGCCGTCATATAGCTGGAATATTGCTGAGTGTGGCGTTAAACAACAAACACACACACACACACACACACACACACACACACACACACACACACACACATAATATTTCAAAATAGAAATGTAAAATCACTCTTAAGGTACAGCCTATTCATGAAATGTACACACCCCTCCGAGTAATATTTGAGTTTGATTCTATTCAATTTTGAGCTCTTGTTTTAATTATCGTCTCTGTTAATGTTTTTTTAAGTTTCTGCCTGCGCGATACATCAACGTCTCAATACAATATGCTACACAGTATGTTAGCGATATGGTGTATATCACAATACACTCTTTTCGATTAAGTGTAGTAATGTAACAAAATACGAAATGTCAACCACGGAGACACATCAGAGTGAGTGAGTGAGTGAGTTAAAATTTTACATCGCATCGGCAATATTGCAGCCATATTGCGATGAAAACAAGTTAATTATTATTAAATACCTGTCAACAAAGGACTGTAAAACAGTAAGTCATGTATCACAGCTAAGGTATAAAACAAACCAGTTCACAATAAAAACAAAGAAAACAAAGATAAAACCGGGCTATATACCACTGGCAACCAAAGCTAGACCACCTAACTGGGGATCACGGGGACTTACAGTGCTTTTGCTTCCTGCATGATTCGAGAGAGAAACATCAGAGAATTATTAGTGTGTTTCAGCTACCGAAACAGATTCCAATGTGAGAAACTTCGGTGAAACTGTTTTAATGGATCACTGAAAATCAGTGATGGCACCTGGGCCCACTTGCACAAAGCGATCTTAGCGCTAAGATGATCGTAACTCCCATACTTTAACATAGGCTTACAATAGTCGTAGCGCTAAGATTGCTTTGTGCAAGTGGGCCCTGGTGTTTCACAATCGCATTAAGACAATAACATACAGGCATTACTTGTCTTCTGGGGAAATCAGCTTGGCCAACGATTAAGTTTCTTATTGTAGCCTAAAAGACCGTGAATTTTTTATTTTCTGAACCATGTTCCACATCTTGGACATGGGTGTACGGGGATTTATTTTGGAGACATAGTTCCTCCAAGATTGTCGCTTATTTTGTTTAAAAGCACGTCGTGCCTTGGCATTTGTTATTTTAACCTTATCCAAATTATGGACTGTAGGATGTCGGCGAAAATATTTTTCTGCTTTCTTCCTACACTTTCTGGCCTGTTTGCAGTCATTAGTAAACCATGGTTTACGAATATGGGGATTAGCAGGGGACTTAGAAATGGTTTGGTCAGCAATGTCATTCAGTAAATCCAAAAACAACTGTATCGGATCTGGGATATTCTGGAAAATGTCATGTTTTAATTTGTCAGTACACAGTACCTCACATAAGGACCAATTGGCCTTCGTAAAGTTCCACCTGGATGACGGTGCTTCATCAGTAGGGTTAACAGTTTTAAGTATAGTGGGAAAATGATCACTCCCGCAGAGGTCATCATGGACTGACCATGCAAATTCATTATACAAGTTGGAGTCTGTGAGTGACAGATCGAGGGCAGAATAAGTTCCAGTGGCTGGATGTAAATAGGTGCTGGAATCATCATTAAAGATACATAAGTTATTTTCAGAAAGAAAATCCCAATGATTTTTCCTTTATTATTAGCATTTGTACTTCCCCACAGCGGGTTGTGTCCGTTCAGATCACCCATGATAATGAAGGGCTTTGGAAGTTGATCGTATAGATCTTGAATATCAGACTGTCGAAGATAAGAGGAAGGAGGGATATATAAGGAGCACAGCGTAAAAGCAATGTGCAGAGTCAGACGAAGAGCAACAGTTTGAAGATTTGTATTTAGAGCTACAGGGCTGTGTTTGATGCCATGCCGCACCAAGATAGTTGGGCCTCCCGTTGCTTTATTTCCAGGAGGAGCAAAGGAATGATAATCATCGTACTGTCTTGAGGTAAACTGATCTGTAGTTCCATCCGCCATCGAGTGTCATCAAGGACCGTGTTATATTGCACCGGATATCCAGGATGCAAACACCAGGGATACAGGGATGTTATACTCCAGGGAAGATGACACGAACAGCTGTATTTGTTTACCAACTCAAGGCCAGACTGGTTCGGCCCATGACAAGAAATTGGAAACATACATTATTCGGAGGTCAAAATCACCAGATTGGCCCATGAGCCACCGCCTTCTGGCATAGGACTCTAGGCAATATTTAGATTTGCATAAGTTGGTTTATCTTATTACATCATCAAAAAGTGTTTCAAATGATATAACTAATATGACAGTTTTCAATGCACAGGGCATGGCGTGACCAGCCAATTTTACCACCCGTCTAGGTGAAGTAAGTGTCAAAGTGGTGTGTTGGGCGAAAGGAACACCGGTTCCTGGCTCCAATGCCTTCAACCACCAGAATCCCATCCTCCGCCGACGGGGGGGGGGGGCAACCCACGGCAAACAGGTTGCCCAATTTTGTAGCCTCATACGACCAGCAATAGGGTGCTGTGGACACACTCCCGCACACCCCGGGTCCACACGGGGGTAGAGCTATTAGCATTACCCAGCACTCACCACGGGGAGGTTGCTCTTCACGAGTTCCTAATAAACCATGAATATCGCCGGTAAGAGTGAATTTTTTAGATGTGTAAATAATAACGGATTTAATTAATAATAAGCAATAATATTAACCGGAAGTGACATGCCCCGTATTACTTTGCTTGGGTATATAAACGAGTGTCAACGATTGGAACGAGAAGAATACTCAATCAGCATGTGGACGTGGCAAGAAGTAGAGCCTCTAACAACTGATCGACAGATACCCTGAAAGTATTGCATTGAAATTGTAGGACTTAATACTTTATTTGTTACATTAGACATTAGTTTAGATGAATAATACATATGTATTTCATGTACTGTAATATAATTATTGAAATATGTCAAAGTAAAGTTTGGCACAAAGCATAATGGTTACAAGAAACCAATAACAAGATCAACATATTGCAATGAATCGATGTAAATATTATATATATTGTACACTAATACTTGGCTTATGCAAGAGTACTGTAGACGTTGTTTTGTTGTGAATGGGCATTATTCTCAATCCATTACATATGGGCATCTTCAAAAACTCATAGAATGTATTGGAAAAAAACCGGTAAGGTGTTAGCCCGCACACTAACATCTGTGCTGCTAACACTTAAACCAAATTGGTCTGGTGTTTTACCTCCAGTGACAAACATAAAGAGCAAGATTAAATCTTTAAAACATCATCCCAAAGCAGTTGAATGGTTCTCTGAAGGTCAAGATCCTGACATCATCGGCAATGCCTTTGCTGGCCAAGACATTGCATTTTCACATCTACATAAATTACGGAAGATGACAAGTACAATTTTAACCAATGAAATGGCCATGGAACTGCGTTATCATGCACCCAAAGGATCCCTCACATGTGAAACAGTAGCACAATATATAAATCTTTTTAGATCCGAGGGAAATGAAATCACTTCACAGCTTTGTTTATATCACCTCAATAGTGTTCACAAAATTCAAACTGAAAAAATTAGAAATCATAAAACAGATATTGACAGCTTCAAAAATTTTCCTTTTGCATCATCGCCTGCCCCTTCTTTTTCAAAATGTCTTTTTCATCGCAACAACTTGAAATACAAAATGAATGTCTCATCCTTGAAACTGAAAAAAAAAAGAAGAATACCAGGAACTTCAGCTCAACGTAGATTTTATTTCATTGACAGAAATTCTTGAAGAAAACAGCCAGCAAATATGAACAATATCAAATCTGGAAAACAACATTGTACAACCTGAAAAGGAATATTCTTGTTGTCCCCCCAAAAAATTGATTCCCTAAATACAAGGCTTTATACAAATGAGAAACAACTCAAATCCTTAAATCCCCAAAATGTAAAGCGTACTCTTAAAAGGAAGGATTCAACAATCACTCAGATGCTTTTAGAAATAAGAAAAAATATTTCTGAAAAAACAACAACTTGACAACGGCTCTGGGCCATAAAGACGAAACTACTATTTCATTGAAAAAACAAGAGGGGGAAATTGCTGATCTAAATAAAAAAAGTAAAGAAACTTGAACACCATTGGTCGGTTAAAAATGAAAAGATCTTACTTCTTCGCGCTCAAGTTCAATCAGTAGTTGAAACCAATCAGGTCATGGTTGGTTGGTTGGTTGGTTGTTTTAAGACAAGCATAGTCGCCTTTTACGGCAAGCATGGGTTGCTGAAGACCTGTTCTACCCCGGAATCTTCATGGGTCTTAAGAATTCGAGTGAGTTTGTGAGTGAATTTACATGCTTTGAAACAATATTTCAGTTACATCACATAGTGGGAGATAAGCCCGAAGTATAGCAGGTCTATGACGTTTGCCTCTAAAGTGAAACCCACGGGTATGGTGCTGACAAACCAAGAAACATAATCAGGGAAAATCTGAGATTTGAAACCCCAATCATAGATTTCTGGCAGGCCTACGAGGGGCG